AGACAACTTCATGAACGTTGGATATTGGATCAGTGCAACCTGGCACATGACTCCATGTCGAGACTAGTTTTAACAATTATGAACCTATCTCGGGAGGATCCATGTTCATTGGAAATGATCATGCCCTAGAAATTGCTGGGATCGGTACTGTCAAATTGAAAAATACATGATGGTACTGTTCGAACAATTCAAGGGATACGACATGTGAAGGCTTGAAAATGAATTTATTGTCCGTTGGGCAAATTGGATGACCTCAATTGCAAGAATCCACATTGAAGGTGGAATCTTGAAAGTGGTTAAAGGCAACTTGGTGGTGATGAAAGCAGAAAAGATCACAACCAATTTATACATGCTTTTGGGAAGATACGTTGAAAGAAGCAGATGCATCAATTGCAATTAGTCAAGAACAAGAAACAATGATGTGGCATCGTAGACTTGGTCATATGTCAGAACGAGGCCTGAAAATTCTAGCAGAACGTAATCTCTTGCCCGGGCTCAAAATGGTAACCTTACCATTTTGTGAACACTGTGTGACAAGTAAGCAGCATAGATTGATTTGGCAACGTGACTACAAGAAGCAGACACATACTGGACTTGATTCATTCTTATGTATGGGAATCACCGGAAGTATCTATTGGAGGAGCAAAATATTTTGTATCATTCATTGATGATCACTCAAGGAGTTTGTGGGTGTACCCAATCAAGAAGAAGTCAGATGTGTTTCCAGTATTCAAGGAATTCAAAGCACTAGTAGAACTTGAAACTGGGGAAAAGAATTAAGTGCTTAAGGACAGACAATGGAGGAGAATATGTAGATGGTGATTTCTAGCATTTTACAAGCAAGAGGGTATTTCAAGGCAATTCATAGTGCTTATACACCTCAGCAGAATGGTGTAGCAGAGTGGATGAACAGAACACTTCTAGAAAGAACAAGAGCTATGTTAAGAACAGCAGGAGTGGCTAAATCTTTCTGGGCAGAAGCAGTGAAAACTGCTTGTTATGTAATAAACCGATCACCATCAACAACAATTGGTTTGAAGACACCAATGGAGATATGGAATGGAAAGCCACCTAATTATTCTTCATTACATGTGTTTGGATGTCCTGTGTACGTGATGTACAATTCCCAAGAAAGAACAAAACTGGATCCAAAATCCAGGAAATGTATATTCTTGGGTTATGCTGACAATGTTAAGGGGTATCGCTTGTGGGATCCCACTGCCCGCAAGGTTGTTGTTAACAGAGATGTAGTCTTTGTAGAAAATCAACTGCAAAAGGAGCAGAAAGATGACAGTACTACCAAAGACACTACTTCAGTAGTGATAGAAAGGAAGGCTAAAGAAGATGATAACTCTGAAGTAGAAGAAGAGCACGGAGAACAAGAACCAAATGATGCCAATGATGGAGAAACTCAACAAAACAAGACGTGAGATAAGGAGACCATCCTAGCACTCAGACTATGTGATGGCAAGCCACGATGCATATTGTCTTCTAACAGATGAAGGAGAAACCATCAACCCTTTCAAGAGGCTGTGAGCAGTTCAGATGCTTCTCTGTGGACAGCAGCAATGCAGGAAGAAATGGAAGCCTTACATAGAAACAAGACATGGAAACTGTAACACTTCCAGAAGGTCGAAAAGCCATTGGAAACAAATGGGTTTACAAGATCAAACGTGATGTCAATGATCAAGTGAAGCGATATCGTGCAAGACTGGTGATTAAAGGATTTGCTCAAAAGAAGGCATTGATTTCAATGAAATATTTTCTCCCAGTGGTTAGACTTACCACTATCAGAATAGTGTTGGCTATGTGTGCTGAGTTTGACTTACATCTTGAACAATTAGATGTAAAGACTGCTTTTCTTCATGGTGAACTTGAAGAGGAAATATATATGCTCCAACCAGAAGATTTTGAAGAACAAGGAAAGGAAGACTTGGTTTGCAGGTTGACCAAAATCTCTGTACGGTTTAAAACAGGCGCCAAGGTGTTGGTACAAGAGATTTGATTCCTTCATTGTTAGCCTCAGATACAACAGACTAAGTTCAGACCATTGTACGTATTACAAGAGGTTTGGTGATAATGATTTCATCATTTTGTTGTTGTATGTGGATGACATGCTGGTGGTAGGCCCCAGCAAAGATCGAATCCAAGAATTGAAGGCACAATTAGCTAGGGAGTTTGATATGAAGGACTTGGGATCAGCAAACAAGATCTTAGGAATGCAAATTCACCGAGACAGAAAAGATAGGAAGATTTGGCTTTCTCAGAAGAATTATTTACTGAAAGTCTTGCGGTGCTTCAATATGCAAGACTGTAAGCCAATCTCTACCCCACTTCCTATCAGTTATAAATTATCCTCAAGTATGTGTCCTAACAATGAAGCAGAGAGGATGGAAATGTCTCGAGTACTGTATGCATCAGCGGTGGGAAGTCTTATGTATGTCATGATTTGTACTAGACCAGACATTGCACAAGCAGTGGGAGCAGTCAGTAGGTACATGGCAGATCCTGGTAGAGAGTATTGGAATGTTGTAAAGAGGATTCTTAGATACATAAAAGGAACCTCTAATGTTGCATTATGTTTTGAAGGATCAGAATTTATTGTGAAAGGCTATGTTGATTCAGATTTTGCAGGAGATCTGGATAAAAAGAAATCTACTACTAGTTATGTGTTTACACTTGCTGGAGGGGCAGTAAGCTGGTTATCTAAGTTACAGACTGTTGTGGCTTTGTCTACTACAGAAGCTGAATACATGGCAGCTATTGAGGCATGCAAGGAAGCAATCTGGATCCAAAGAACTTGGGCACAAACAGCAGACTACTACTGTGTATTGTGACAGTCAAAGTGCTTTGCATATTGCAAAGAATCCAGCCTTTCATTCAAGAACAAAGCACATAGGTATACAATACCACTTTGTTCGTGAAGTAGTAGAGGAAGGTAGAGTGGATATGTAAAAGATTCACACCAAAGACAACATAGCAGACATAATGACAAAGCCAGTGAACAATGACAAGTTTACATGGTATCGGTCCTTGTATGGCCTATTAGGAATATAGCAACATATAATTGTAATATATTAGGAATGTGTGAAGATGTGATTAACTTAATCATAATCTTTAAGTGGGAGAATTGTTAGTCTCACATTAGTCCCACATCGTGTGGGTTAAAATGGAGGGGACCCTCTTTGGCTATAAAAGGAGACATAAGGGTCCCTTAACAATCATCCCAAAATCTTCTTTCTCACTAATTTTGTATTACACTGAGCTTGTACTTGGTAGTAGTCTCCTATTTTGAGGAGTAAATTTTAGAGTGAGGAGTGGAATTGCATAGTACAGTATAGCTGAGATAGAGTTTCGCTTGAGTTGATGCTCTGTCTAGACATTGCAGTAAAATTATTTAAGCACTTTGGAATTCCTTTTGATAAGTTATTCATCGAAAGATCCAACAGTTGAATCTGCTTTAAATAATAGAGATGAATAGGAATGTTTCCAGAGAAGCGATTCCCTCGCATGCTCAAGACTATCAAATGCTGCATATTGTCACCAATCCGTGATGAAATTGGACCAGACAACGAATTCTCACTGACATCCAACAATATTAAACTGCCACAATTCTTCAAAAAGGAAGGCAATTCACCGGATAAACTGTTGTTCCGTAAAACCAAAGCTTTCAATTTAACAAGGGTGCCCATCGATGGTGGAATCTTTCCTGACAAATTATTATTTTTAAATCAAGAAACAATAATGATTTTACGGATTTCCAACAGTCTGGCAATTGTCCTTAATTTGATTGTTTGATATATCCAACAGGCCCAAGTATGCAGCAACGCTTTGGTCACATAAAAATGAAAATAAATCTGAAAATTTATTTTCGGAAAGCTTCAGCTCCCATGCTTGTCCAAAAAAGATGGAATTCCACCCTCAAAATGATTTGAATTCAAAATTATGGACGGTGTACGAGGAAGCTTGAATGGTAAATTTGGAAGTATACCTGATAGATTGTTGTAAGACATATTCAATTGTCTCATATATTGTGAGTTGTTCCAAAACCAGTCTGGCACAGAGTCACGAAGCCCGGCATCAGAAATATCCAACGATCATAAGGAACTTTGAGTCTTGAGCCAACTGGGAAAACTCGTACCCAACTTGCAAGATGCTAGTCTAAACCAATTTAATTGGAAAGGAGGGACCCAGCTAGAGCCAAATTTTAGAGACAGTGAGTTGTACGACAAATCCAACCATTTTAATTTGGAGAAATTAGTGAGATGTGACTCAGTGACGTCACCTTCCAAAGAATTCCCCGCCAGGGACAGATCCACCAAGTCATACAACAATCCAATGCTTTAGGTAACATGCCTGTAATCCTGTTATTAGATAAATACAATCTCTGAAATACGTGTCTATTGCACCATGAAGAGTTTTGAATGAAGCTTGACATTTCTCCACTCAAGTTGTTACCTGAGAGGGATAATGTCGCAATGCGCACATGTTCCCAAGAAAGATGGAACCTCTCCTTGCAGTTTGTTAGAAGAAAGCCAGAGAACTTCAAGAGAGTTCATTACTTTCCCAAATCCATCTGGAATGGGACCTTCTAACAAGTTATAAAAAGAAAAAGTGTACGAAGATTGTTGGTGTAGTTAAAAAGCCAATGAAATACAGCCGACGATTTCAACAGATTATTGGAGAGATCAAGCGTGACAAGAGAAGATGAAGAATTGATAATGGAATCAGATGACACGAGAAAACTTCCATCCATAAGACTGCAGTTTGTTAGATACAACTCTTTTAATTTGGAGCTGAAGTTGAAGTTACTCTGAAACATTGATGAAGTCAAATTATTGTAAGAGAGGTCAAGGCTCACAAGAGATGAAATGTTAAACCATAACTGAAGTGTTGATGACGTCAGCATATTAGAAGAGAGATCGAGGATGGTAAGAGAAGTGGAAAAGTTGGAATGAGAATGAAACAAAGATGAAACATTATCATCTGAAAGACCACAGTCAGATAGCCTCAACTCTCAGGTTTGGAATGAGCTTACTCATCGTTTGTAGCCAGTGATCAGAGGAACCAAGATTAGGCAATGAACTCAGGTCAAGAGTTGTTAAAAAAGAGAGACTAGACAACCACTCTGCAGCATTAATTTTAAGATCAAAATTGCCAGAAAGTCTAAGAGTATGCAGGACTGGAAGATTACCAACTTGGAAAGGGATTGTTCCAACAAGAGAATTTTCTTTAAGATCAAGATATTGCAACAGTGAGAGATTTTGAAAGTCATGTGGGATTTCTCCATCAAAATAATTGTCACTTAGATCTAGATATCTCAAACTTGAGAGCTTCCCTAGTTGAGAAGGGATTGCTCCAACAAGATAAATTTTTTTAAGATCAAGATATTGCAATAGTGAAAGATTTTGAAAACTGATATGGATTTCTCCATCAAAATGATTGTCACTTAGATCTAGATATTCTAACTCTGAGAGATTTCCCAGTTGATAAGGTATCCTTCCACTAACTCCAGACTCTGAGAGGTTAAGATATCTTAATTTGGTAAAGGAGTCGATTATTTCTGGGATATGATAGCCATAAAAGCATTATAGCTGAGGTCGAAATGTTCAATATATTGCAAGTCAATCAGTGAAGTGATGTTAATTGTACCTGTCAAGTACTGTGTATCATGACCATGAATATTAAGCGTGTGAACATGACCTGTTTCGTTGTTGCATTCAATGCCTTTCCATATGCAACAGTCTCCATTGGAATCATCATCTTTCCATGTAGAGAGAATGCCAGAAGGATCACGGAGGCCTCGTTTGAAGTTGAGGAGTGCATGTTTCTCCCTCTCTATGCACTTTACTTCAAGAGAAGACTCTGAGGTATGCAATAAAAGAAGCAGAAGTGCATAAAAGATTAAGAGAAAATAAGTGCTCACTTTTATTTTGCTAATTAAGAACATATCGCAAAACAACGCTGGAAGATTGTGAGATAGTGTTTTCTCTTCTGCTTGTGAAGGGTGTGAACTCCATGGCATATATATATATATATATAATATCCGCTGACAATATGTATTTAATTTGGATACTTACGTGAATTTAATCAATTTAATTATTAATTTAAAGATTTTTATTTAGTAAATCAACTTTATAAAATTTCATAAATTTTTTTAATAAATACTCCATCACATTATTTTATTTTAACTGTTAATATTTTTTAAAATATAAATAGATATTAAATTTTAAATAATATAATTAGACTACAAATATTTAAATTATATAAAATTATATATAAATATATATAATTATAAAAATATTATAACATTATTCATCATTTAAACTACTTAGTTTTATATTATATATAATTGATAATATATAACCATGTAAATTAACGTAAGGCAAAAACGATAATATGTAATAATGTATAAAAAAATGGATGGTTATTTGCTTCTAGAATTTCTAACTTAATTTGCAATGTAGAAATTTTTTATTGATTTATATAGAAATGAATTTTGATATTCTTCTAAACTCTCTAACTTATTAAGCAAGATATAAAATTAGGTTTGCACTTTGCATTATCTCTAAGTGCATGTTTGATCGTGATGCATCATACTACATTCAAGTTGAGTACTTAGAGATCATGCAAAATTTTGCTGAAATTTTATTAAGTGTGATATACGTGATTAAATAAAACAACTAACAATTATTTGATAAAACAATTTACTCCTAAGTATGATAAGGCGATGCCTTATGAAAAGAAGATTGGAAGTTACAAATGGTAGTTGAATGACAAATGTTTTTGTTTAATTCTCATATTTATGTAGCTATATATATATCATAGTTGGATAAATATTAAATGCATAAGTGACGAGCATGAAAATAAAGCGAATTTTTTTTTGAAATTTACTAAGAGAAATGTGTCTAATAGTAAAAAAAACAATTTATTGTCATTGTGTGAATTGTTTCTATGAAAGGTAGTTAAGTGTCAAGGAAACAAGAAAGTGTATACTTTGTGATGGCTTTTGTAAGAGTTACACGAGATTAACATAACATAGAAAATTAGTAGATATGCCTAATGTTTCCCAAACAATTGAGAGTTGTCTAGGAAGGATACTTAACATGGTAGCTACAATATTAAATGGGTTGATACGCATAGAGCATAGTATCCATTGTTTATGGCTAAGACTACTGGGATATTTAATCACATTCGTTCCCCTAGCTTTCATTTCTTAGGTCAGTGACAGCCTAGCAGAGTACTTTTGTTATGATGTAGATATTAATGATGGATTATAAGATAAAATTTGTAATATCAGACAAGAGCCTCTTTTAGAATTCATATTTTTGTTATTTTGTGTAAATATGTCAACAAACATTTGTATCTAGGGTGCACTAATTTTATATAGTTGTCAGTAGTGTTAAAATTAGTTAACATAAAGGAAAAAATTAGGTGGATTAATAAAAAGTTTTACTAAATTGCTTTAGTTATTGAAAAATATGCTTCTAAAAGGTAATATATTACTCGATTGTAATTATGAAGGAAGATTTAGTATCCAATAGGTATACACACTTGTCTTAATGATCAAAATTTGTACAAAAAAAGAGCATGAATGATTTCATATGTGCCCTATTTGCTGAGTTTCACGCTACAAAGTGAAGTATGATAATTCTATTTATGATGTGAGCATAAAAGGTTCATTTGCAAAAGTTTTATGATACCTTCCAATAATTCAAGATTTTAACATAAAGAAAAGAGAAAAATAATATAAACTTATTTATTTTGTTATATGATTTCATACGATAAAAATTTTCAAAATCACATAATTAACATATATATTATAAATAAAAGTCTGCTATTTAAAAAGTAAAACATTTAATGAATCTATACTTTTCCAAAATTTTCAGTTTATGTGGGTGTGATAATTTTATTTTGAAATTAATCGTTAGAATATCGAAAGCTTGATATATACTACAAGATTGTGTTTGCAAAATTTAGATTAATCTAAAATTATTTATCCAACTTTCATGTTTATCAATTTAATATAATATATATTTTAAAATATACAATAAAAAACAAATTAATTATATTTCTTATAATTAATTAATTTTGATAAAATTTAACACAGATGACCAAAGTAATATATAATTATAACAGTTTGATCAACAAAATTCACATTTCACATAACATTATTAATATATATATATATATATATATATATAGTATCAAAAATAAAATCATCAATAATTATTCTGATATTAATGTAAAATTTTTGAATTTTGACCTTGTTGATCAAACACATAAAGGTTTCTTCCAGATTACCAGAATCAACCTTTACAGAATCATTATCTTCATGAAGTTCTTCTTTCTCAATGTCAAATCATCATCTAATTGGGAAAGAATAACTTGATGAATTTGTTGTTGCTCTTTAATATCCTTAATCTCTTTCTTGAAACTGTTAATCTCAATCTGGAGATCCTGAATAGTGGTTTGTTTGATATTAGAATTCTTCTCTAATTTTTTGAAAATATTTGTTATATCAAATTTATTTGTAGTAAATATTCTTTGGATTTAGGTTTAGTTTCTAAAACCTCTTTGAATTTATTTAAAAATTCTTTTCTTTCTTGAAGATAAAAAATGGAGCTTATAGCTTCAATAAGAAGATCTTGTTCTGTTGTCAAAACATTAATTTCTAGAGTATCATCACTATTAGAAGAAGAAATTTGATCATCGTTTTGGATTTGGTTGACATCCTCATCAGACTCTTTGACAGAATCTTCATCAGAAGATTCAATAAGGAGATTGTTGATTTGGTCTTCTATAGAAGGCTCTAGGTTAAGATTACTAATCTTCTTTTCAGCCTACAGTATTTACTGATATGGCCGAGTTTGCCACAGTTGTAACAAGTTACACCTGTTCTGGGTTTCTTGGGAATATTGGTGGGATAACACTTTCCCCTTGTTTCTTGGAAGAAGGTTTCCTATTGTACTTACGTTTGTAAGGCTTCTTATAACTGTTATAAGTTTCAACAGCCTCTTTCTTGGGAGCCTGTTTCTTCTTTTTGGTGGAGCAGGATGGAAGACCAAACTACTCGCAGAAAGATCCTAATTCTTTCTTACTTAAGGCTTTTCTTTGGCAAGATGCTTCTGAAGTTTATCTTTTTGACAAACTTTGATGGCATTATGAATAATGATGGCAGTAAGTTGACCATAGTCATAACTGTCATAATTTATTTCTCCAGTAGGAGAATGACTTTGGAGTTTGCTTCTAATAAGATCTCCGAAAGGTTTAGAAAGCCCATCAAGATATTTTCTTTCCAATAGGCTTGATTGCAATCTTCTCTGCTTAAAACTCTGGACATGAAAGTATCCTTGTACCATTTAAATTGTCCTAAAGATTCACACCTGAGGTTTGAAAGAAGTTCACCAGAATTTTCTCTCCAAAGAGAAGGATCTCCAAGAAAATATTAGAATATGGTATATAACAATGTATACACAGCATCAGGGAGATGCTCATTGTCACTGACAATGGTTTTTTCCCCTTGTCATCAATTTTAACTGCAGAGAGGATGTTTTCTCTTTCAGTTTCAGTGAGATAATTATCCCACCATCCTTTGAGTTGACCAGTAAAAACCTACAACTAGAATATAAACAATGGTGTCTTCAGGCATATTTTGAATTAGTAAAAAAATAGTCCCATAGCGACAATCGACATGTTTTGGAGTTTGGCAATGATATTATATTTAGATAAACCATCAATATTCCAAATATAAATATCATTAGAATTAAAACTTTGAATAAAATCTTATTTTTCTTCTAAAATAAGATCAGGAGCAGTAACTCTATTATAATAAAGTTTGGAAGGAATTTTTCCAATTGTTGATAGGATTGATAGCTAAGACAGAATCTGTTTCAGAATAATGTTTTGAATCAGTTTTGGAAATGGCATTGACAGTCTTGATAAGAGATCTAGTTTTAGGTTTGGCACTAGATTCTTCAGAATTTTGAGGAGTGTCGGGGACAGTAGTGAGAAGGCTAGTAATTTTACTAAAGTAACTCATTTTGGTTGTCCTCATTCACTTTGGTTTTTTCTTTCTGCCTGAGTTCTAAGATTTTTTGCTTAGCTTTGGCACTAATCTTAAAAGGTTTGAACAAGGGTTTTTCTAGTTGAGGTTGAGAGGATGAAGAAGCCATTTCTTCAACTTTAGGTTTGATAGAAATTAACAGAGATTTTTTCTTCTAGAACCTGAAGATACTTATTGGTGTAATTGGCTTGTTCCATGAGGCCTTGGATATCATTGGGAGTAATAGATTCGTCAGGGTTCTTAGTTTTGAAAGGAGTAGCAGTAACATAGTTTACCGCTTTTGTCTTTCAGGTTTGGAAGCTGATATTGAGTTGTGGGTGGCAGCTCACTTTGAACGATTTGTCCATCTTTAATCTGCCAAGATATAACATTAGCAGAGGAAGTACTAATAATGTCCTCTTGCCAAGGGTAGTCTATGTTATTATGAATGGTATAAGCATGATACCAATCAAAGAATTAGATATTCTTTTGACTTTTCGAGAAATTGATAGAATTTCTCTTGGATATCGGACCTGTTTTTTCCCCTTATAATTTTGAAAGAAACCACTCTCTTTGAGGTTTCCAATCCTCAGAGTAGAAATCTTTCCTAAGGGTTTCCTTATCTATAATGAATTTATGAGATAACATCATAAAGACTCATTAAGGGAAGAGTAGGTTGGAGATTGGATACTCTGATTTTCTTCTTCTTTTTCAGAAGCCTGGTAAACATTTCTAGGAATCCTAGAAGAAGTATCTAAACCCTGTAGATTTATGGAAGGATCATGATTAATGGATCTGGGTATTTCAGACCTAGAAGCTTGGGATCTGTAAGAGAATGACCTCCTAGCATAAGCAAAACTAGAACGACTGCTATAAGCATCAACTCTAGAAGAGAAGGAGTTTCTCCTATCAAAAGTTATTTCAACTTTCCTAAAATTATCTTGAGAAATATTTTCGATTTGAGGAGCAGGCTTAGGGACACAAGGCAAAGCTTTGTCTAGGACCCACTTTTCAGGAAGGGAAACTTCATCCCACTTGATTATTCTTGGGAGAGACACATTAGCCTTTGTCATATTAGTGATAAACAAAGTAGTCTCACCTCTTTGTGGTTTGAGAAGGACTCTAGAAGCACAAGAGTTCATGGCTTTATACTGAATCCTATAGATCAAAGCTGCGGGAATAGATCCCTCTTTCATGTTTAAACCATGAAAGCAAATATTGAGAAACAGAGAGTCAAGAATGTGTTCATCTAAAAGACTCACTGTTTTGTTTGGAAAACAATTGAAATAAATTGGGCCTTGACCCAGACTAGTTTCAACAGTACCTATAAGGGAGTCGTTGAAGTCATTATGGCGAGCATCTCTAAGACACATGAGGATAGCAGCATCTATACCTATATCTATGAGAGGCTTAATGGCAACCTAAACACATCCTATGTGGAGGTAATTGTATTTGCGTTTGTGCTCATTGACAGAAGATTTGGATAGGAGATGAAATTCTTCTCCTAAATCTTTTCCTAAAGGAATATTGTTCTCAACAGTCTTAATAATGTAATCAAAACTGTTTTTCTTGGAATGTTCTTCAGGAACATATAATGTATCCTGAGAGATTTCTGTGATGGTGTGATCTCAGGAGACTGTTTCTCCTAATCATTAAAAGATTGTTTTTGGTTGGAGAGGAGGAAGACGAACTAGAGCCAAAATGAAAGAAATGCAGGAGAAAGAACGCAAGAGATGAGACATCATAAAAAACTTCTGGCACATCACCTTCATCTAGTACCGTAACAATACATCTGTTAATTATCTATAACTCTTTCAACTAGATCTGGTTATTTGTGGACCTTTTTTTTTATTATTTATAAACAAAATTTACAAATTCTGAAATTCTTTTACCATAGCCACCAGCTTCTTATGTTCCTTGTTTCTTTTGAATACAGCATCGTCAAATTAGCCTTACTGCCCTTTAACCACACGGGACTTACTGCTACAGCCCTATTCAAAAGAACTAAGAACTGTTGCACTTCCAGTAAAGGTCTTTCATAAAATTTAAAGAACTATATAAAAGCAATATTTCTGAACCATTAGTTCATGGCATTGTTTCAGACAGGGATGACCATAAATGGTCTCACCCGAAGGGCCTGTCAGCTGTCTAGCCTATAAACTGTAGTTGCAGAAAAATTAAAAGGAATTTAAAGTCCAGATCCAGAAGATCATAGTTACAAATAATCAATAGTTATATTCCTACTTCCCCATCGGGCTCTGGTCCAGTTATATTCCTTTCAGTCTATTTAATATATATATATATATATATATATATATATATATATATATATTATTATGACCTGCTATACACCACCTTATTCTTCAAAAAAGTTTGTTAGTAAGTTATAATTATATTTTTTCTTAAAATATATTATAAGTGTAGCTAGTTTTCATACTTCAACTTAAAAACAAGTTAATCTATATTAATTAGTACCTATTATTTATACTTACTTTTTTAAAAAAAATAAATTGCATTAATAAGTGAAACTAGTGCAAAGACTTAAAGTCGGTCTTTTGTTGAAAAATATCTCACATTTATACTTTGTATTATTTCAAAACATGTCAATGTGTCTCCGAATTTCTCAGTGATGAAGAATTGATATCTCACTTTCACCTTTGGTAAGACAAACCCGGTCTTCATGCATCACATCCCATCAATTATGTCCCATTTAGAATGTAAAAATTTAAGATTAAGGGATTGTTTGTTTTTTTATTTTTTAAATAATTTTTTATTTTAAAAAAAATGTTTTATTAATATAAATTTTAAAAAATACTTTTTATTTTCATTTTTTAGAATTAATAGACTTAGTATTTATGTATTTTTATTTTATTCCTTTTTTAACTAATTTTGTTAACTAAAAACAGTTTAAAAACTAAATTATTAAAATTTTTTATTAGTTTTATAAAGTTATTTTAAAATGTAAATTTTAAAAATTAAACTCAAAACTAAATCAAATAAGCTTTAATCATATAATTTCATTATTATTTTGACACTGTCAAAGTTAAGTTAAGAATAAGTATTTATGTGATAAATTTGTTTTCAACATGAATATCTAATTAAAATAAGGTTTTTTTTTTTTCTCTCAAAATTGGAGTGTACTAGAACAGTTGATTGAAACTTGAACGATGATTTTAGTTGAAAATTTAATTCAACCCATTCTATAAGCTAGAAAATTAAGAACGTCAATCACATCAAAAGGAAAAAAATAAAACTATAGTTTAAGAGTATGTTTGTTTCATTTTAAAAATGATTTTCTATTTTTAAAAAATAATATAAATTAAATTAAAAATATTTTTAAAAATTTAAAAAATGAAATGAAAAACAGACATAGTCTAATACACTAATTTAATTTTCTTCAAAATGTCATGTATATATTAACGTGACGAAGGTTCAACACAGAGAGAGTCTTATATTCGTCTACAAACAGTGGCAAGGTTCGCTCACAAGGATCGTTGTGCTATACTTCATCGTCTTTCATAAGACCTTTCTTCAAAATTTTCAACATCTTGTTTGATCTTAGTGGTCGATCTCATCGATTGTTATGTTATATACGCAACCATAAATTTTTATTTGGATCAATCACAAATTATAAGTCATTACCAAAATTAAGAAACATATGGGAAAAATAAGTAGTGATGGCAATTTTTATTAACCCTAATAGATTTGTATATAAATGAATTTACAAGTTTCGCAACGCTACCAAGAAAGGAGAATTTAACAATTTTTTTAGATGCATAAAGTTTTGAGACAAATGCAATGGAATGTGAACCTTTATATAATGAGAACCTTTGATGTAATGATCTTCCCCAACTAGATCGATATATTCTTTTAAAAAGACTAACATTTTTTCTTTTGATAGGAAGAAAGTAAACTTTGCTGATTTACTGTATTGAATAACATAGCCGTACTTTTTATTTTAAATTTATTAAGGTTCTCATTATCTTCTAATTGACCAAAACCTAGTCCCTACACATATTAGCTTTTTATTAGTAATTCAAAGTAGTTAGTGAAATTAAATCACTTATATCAAGTCCATATTGTGAACAATGAAATTTGGATTTAAAAAAAAATATGAATTTTAATATTATAAAAGGAGAATAGAAACAAAGGATGTTAAGGAAAAAATAAAAATTTGTCTTAATAAAATAGGAAAAATTCAAAATTAACTCTTAAAAGAAAAATTGAATATTACAATAATTAAACTCTTAAACTAATGTTATTTTATACATAAAAAAAGAAATTTTTAATTTTTACCATTTTATGAAAATCAAGTAATAAAAGGGGACAAGAACCATGAGAAAGGGGTTCAAGAATTTGGGAGGAGGAGATTTTGTTGAAAAAAATATAGAAAAGAGAAAAGGAAGGAGAAGGAGGAAGCAAAGGGTCCAAGAACTTCAAGTAAGTTTCTTATGCATTTTATGAAATTTCACATATATTCAAGTACATTCACACCATGAATATATATTTCATACAATAAAGCCATTGAAACTCTCTTTTTAATCATCTCCAACATTTTAAATCTACCATTAAAGTCTTCTTTTCTTCATCATTTTCTTTCTTTCCCTCTCTCCACACTAAGTTTCACTACCCAAATCATAGCCTCCATTAACCTCATCTTCACCCTTTTCTTGACTTCATTGATTTTTTTATTTTTTATTTTTTCAGAAAGTACACTCCTAACCCTCAAATCCTACCCCCTCAAATTTGAAAAATTTTAAATTTTAGACCTTTTTACCCTTTTTTATTTTTTATTAATTTTTGGGTCTGAATTTTTATTTATTTATTTTCATTTTTTATTTAACTCAACATACATTTTCTTATTTTAGTTTTATTTTTTATTTTTTATCATTATTATTATTTTTAATACTATTAATTAGTATTATTATAGGATTCTTATTATTTTTATTTTTTTATGGTACCCTAACTTAAATAAAATATTTGACTTTCTCATTTTTATTTATCTTAATTTAGCTCTCTTGATTCTATTTAATTTAGAATAATTATAATAAGAAGCTATTAAAATTTATTAAAAATAATTATTTTATTTTATGTTGTGTTTTAATTTGTAAAATTCATCTAATTCTAACATTAAAAATAAATTCTTCTTAATTTTTTTTATGTCTTAATTATTATGTTGGTTATTTACCCTTTATGATTGTTATCTTTTATTTTATTTATTGTGTAACGCCTCAAATTTTGTAATTATATATATATATATATATATATATATATATATATAATTGTGGGTTTTCATTGAATGGTGCTTGATGAGTATGATGATGTGAATGTATGTGTATATATGTGTATAATTATGGGTGTTAGTTGTGTATTGAGAAATTGGATGTGGTTGAGTTGGAAAAATAGACTAAGTGTGTATTATAGGTGTAATGCCCCGAATTTTGTAATATAAATTATTGTTATTTATATAAATCTAAATGTATATATATGTGTGTGTATTTTTAGATATATGTTGTGAATATATGTATGTGTATGTGAATGCATGAATGGTTTAGGGCTGAAATGGGCTAAGTGCTTAGGTACAGGGCGAGATACTGGGTTATTCTCGCTACAGCGAGGGGATTCTTGCTGTAGCGACAGGGCCCTAGGAGGAAGGACTGAAACTGTCACCTTCTCGCAGTAGCGAGAGAGCGACAGTTTAGGGTGCATCTATGGGAGCAGTTTCCACTGTAGCAAGAGGGCATCGCTGCAGCGAGATTCTGCAGAAACTAGAGTGCAGTTTTCTCTAGTTTTTTTGCTGTAGCGAGAGGGAGTGTTGCTGCAATGAGGTCATCTCGCTGTAACGAGAGTGTCCGCGACCAGAAGAGGATTTAAAAGGGGTTAGGGTTCGGGGAGAATTATTTCTCCCTCTCCCTTCAAAATTCCTTTCCAAAGCCCTATTCCACTGATTAATTGCCTCCAAAGCCGTTCGGGAGCTCGATTGAAGGTTAAATCCGTGTGGAGAATGCTTGGATGTGAGTTTTAATAGTTAAGGTTTCAGTTTTTATCCCCTTTCTCTGTTTTCATGGTTTTC